CTTGCTTTCCCAAAAGTTGTTCTCATCCTGGGTGGACTGCAGTTTCGACCTCGAATCGGTCTTATCAACAATGCGAGGTCGAAACTGCAGTCCACCCAGGATGAGAACAACTTTTGGGAAAGCAAAACTATGTGAAATTCAATGGAAACTTCAGCTTAACTCATATCATTGTGGGAAAATTCTACTACCGGTCCTTCATCACCTTAGACGAAATATTTGTTAGAAGGATGAGTCTCACAAATTAGGAAGCAATTGAAAAACCAAGGTATAAGGACAGAGATTTGTTCTTCCAGGAATTAATATCTACTTAATTTAGACATTCGGTTTTTTCGAGATTCTAATTATGCTACTGTGGGTGAAAAAGGAGGAGCAGAAGGACGAAAAGAGGCGTATATTACTCTCTCTCTCTCTATTTTGGTGGGTTTCTCCAGAATTATGCAAGTTTTATGGGATTTTGGAAGTCAACAAAGAGCTGATCATTCCTCGCTAAACCCGCTCAAAAAGAAACAACTCAAGGGTAACTCAGACCAATCGGGTCGGAAGTTGTGCTAAAGAGGGACTAAGAGACGAGAAACGTGGATATAACAGGACAGGAAGAAGGAAGACATGTTAACAATTAAGCAGAATGCTAGTCTAAAGATTTCATTGGTAGGGATACTTTCATTTCGCATTAAAGTGCACGAAGAAGAGTTTCGAAGATCAATCTCAGCAGAAGATGAATGCTGATTCTCGTTCTACTGCAGCTGCTTGGCTTTAATACGACGTTCAGGTTGACACAGTCGATAAGTCGTCCTCTCTAATTTCAGGTAAAAACCAACTGAAATTTCATTCGTCACAAGATGGACATTATCAGAGCTGGAACTCATTTTTGTGAAAGTCTCACATTAACACTATCTGGCTTTATCTTATCTCCTTTTTATACTCATAAGTAAAAAAAGAAAATGAATGGGCATAAATTGATATAGAATCGCTTCATGTTGGTCATGCTACTTTTTGCTCGAGATGGCAGGGATTGAAGCGAAATACTTGCTAGCCTCGGTTTTTGCTCAGTTGGACGTGATCCACTCTTCTACGATAACTCTCCAACGGTACCTTTCTTGATGTTACCTTTAGTTTGCGTTTACAATGCTTGGTATGTAGGCATAAAATCTAGGCCATAGATAGTCTGTAAGATGACACGAAACTCCTGTCCACCATAATCAAGGGAGGATGTTTAGTGGATTGCGTCAAAGAAAAATTAGGAGAATAATAAATTTATTCAACCTGAGCTACATAAGATAAAAAAGGTCTGTTAGTTGATTTTTCCCACACACTGAGATGATTATCTCATCAAGACTCGAATGGACGGCATTTCGACTTCGCGAGAGTCTTGCCTGCAACATGTAGAAAATAGACGATGCATTGTAAGACCTAATCATATCATCGTAGGTAAGCTCATCTTTCAGGCCTACATTATCTCACACGACTTGGGCTGATTAAAGCTATTAGGCAGCATGCTCTGGTAGTATCGAAACCCACTACTTAATATGAATAGAACTTCATAGTACCATTAAAGTGTGGTAGAATCTGAGATCGGGATCGAATTATGAATAGCTTCATAATAAGCACACTTGCACTCAAAATTATAGTCGTTCCGAAATAAAATAGATCCCAATCCCAATGAGAATTCCTCACTTGGCTTCGGGAAGCTCTGATTTCTAAATAAGTCCCCACTTATAGAATTAACTCTCTCCAAAAGCTGGAGCTAGAAGATTCGGCAGAATCCAGCTTTCCTAAAGGAAAACTATTTCCTATTTTTCTGTGAATGAATGAAATGGCACTTTCTGACGTAATTTCGAGTGAGGGAGCGGGTGTATGATGAAAGTTGAAGTCTTGAAAGATAAACCAACTAAATAAATACTGCAGATCTCCTTCACCTTTGGCTTCTGGCGCGAGGACACTATTATGGCCTACCAAGAGCCGGTCCCTTTGGAAGCAAGTTTCAAGCTGAAGGAGCAATTCGACCTTCTGATGCATGCGGAGGCAGCCAGACGCCTCTTCCGCTTTTGCCGCTACCAATTAATTCGGTTTTGGCCCACAAAGAGCCTTGCATTCATGACCACCTCTTTGGGAACTGCGGCCCTTTTCTTCTTCATAGTCCCCGGGCTCGACTTCCTCTGCTTGCCAATCACCGTCCTGCCCCTCATCACTACAGTTCTCGTTGCCGCCTGGGCGCTGCTCATCTTCTTCATCCGTCGAGTCATCATCTGTCTGGAGAGCCACCAGACACGTTTCATCCCCAGACGCGTCACACC